ACACCTGTAACGCATTTCACACTGGGTTATATTTTGAGTGGCCACCTGGATGAGGAAATAACATGTTCACAGTGCGGACACTACAGCCCTCCCTGCCAGGTAGGAACAGGTGTTTGTTTTACACCACATTCTGCACACAAACACAGCACGGCCTGCTTTAACATGTACTATTCTTGCTTTTTGAGGAACCTTGGACACCTATTGTACTCTTAAAGTTGCAAAACACTTATCTTCTAAGTTGTATCTTTTCACAATGAGTGAAAGTCTTTGAGTTCATGTAGGAATGATCTGCCATGTGACTAAACTTACTAACATCTGTTGTGTTGCTTTGTTTCTTGTTTCGAAAACAAAATACAAAAAATGGAAAACTATGTCAAAGGGCATTCCACAATACATTCACTATGTGTTGTTTTTTACTCGCTGTGGGAAAAGTAATGGCATTTTCAAGTCCAACTCCTGGTTTATCTGGACTAATTTTTTTTATATTATGTGCAGCTTTGGGGCATGTGAATGAAAAGATTGATTGTGCGAATGCCGTTTCTGTCAGCCACCAACAGGCGATGAAATACCAAACACACCTGGATCAGCACTCACTTTTGACAAGTGCATACCATTGTAAGCCCCTATTAGAAAAACAATGAAGTCTATCATAAAACATTTATGGTAGATAAAGTGCCTGAGTGCGAAAAAGAGAGCACATTATGGCAGCTGGTCTAAATTAATTTCAAAGGTGGACTTGTACCAGAAGGTGGGCTCACAAGATTGAGAAACGCTGTAAAAAATGAGAGGCTACAGTTTCAGATTATTTTTTTTAATCAGGATAATTGTACAATATGATCATCAGTTATCAGTTAATATTTTTGTTTAATACTGTAATCAGGTTCAAATACTGCAAACAAATCTTTCAAAACAATGATAGTAGAAAATAAAGTTGCTATTTTTTGTGTGAAAGCATTTTGTAGATTTACAGTGTCAATCATTTAACAGAAATAAAGACAATATTGTCTTTTCAACACAATTAAAGCCCTACATTTTCCCACCCAACAATAATTTGTTTCAAGTATGATTCTTTAGTGCATAAACGATTAGTTTTAATCACAGCTTGCTATTGCTAACAGGGGGTGGTGCCACTTCCACCACGACCTTGCCCAAGTTTTTCCCCGCATACAAGTAGTCCACGGCTCGGAACACCGACTCCAACCCGACGAACCTCCCTTCCTCCGACATATCCCCACAATCCACCTCACACACTAGCTTCCCCTTGGCAATCATCTTCATCATGCTACCCAGTGCCTCTTTGTAGTCGCTGAGGAAGTGGGGCAGGAAGAAACCCCGAATGCTGGCCGACTTCTGGAGCAGCTTGACTGGAAGCGTTCCTCCTTTGAAGTGTGGGATTCCTGATGCCGTCTGGTACCCTGAGATGAAGCCGATCACTATGAGCCGGCCCTTGGTGGCCAAACTGTTCACTGCCAGTTCTAAGACGCTTCCTCCAACGGACTCGTACACCACGTCTACGCCTTGTGGGTACTCTTTCCTCAGCGTCTTCGCCAGGTCTTCTTGGGTGTAGTTGATCGGACGGTCGCAGCCGATGGACTTCAGGAAGCCGGCTTTCTCGTTGGTTGAACACGTCCCGATCACATGGCAACCGGCCTGTTTGGCAAACTGCACGGCGAACTGCCCAGTTCCTCCTGCAGCCGCCGTGACTAGAACCGTCTCACCTTTGGTAAGGTCGCCCAGACGTTTCAGGGCGATGTAGGCCGTGGCACCGCTGACCAGCAGGGTGAGGAACTCTGGCTTCACCGCAGGGACGGGAACACTCTCCTTGGCTGGCACCACCGTGTACTCTGCAAAGGCACCGCTGCCGAAGTAGGCCACGGTGTCCCCGACGGTGTAACTGGAGCTGGCGCTAAGGCCGAGGCCAACAACCTCACCGATACCCTCGAAACCGGCATCGAAGGGGGGCTTCACCGAGGGGTCATAACGGCCTGCTGTGTAATTAATATCAGAGGCGTTCACTCCAGCAAAACTGAGAAACAGAGACAAAAAGCATTATTATGAAATGTGAGAGAAATAAAACAAATACAGTTGTGAACGATATGCATACATTCACAAAAGAAAAGCTTTCGGTGGTCATTAATGCATATTCCCAGAATTCTGTATGAAGGTCAAGATTTCAGCTTCCTTCTCCAGACATGTCTGCACGGGGCACAAACACTCTGGTTTGTTTTGGCAATGATTCCCTTTTCTCTGGAAGAGCACGGTCCTACACTGACAGGGAGAGGCTTGTATCACAAAACACATTGCATGATGTCATGATTCATTGTCTTCAGAGACACCCACAACAAAACTACACTTTTAAAATCTTAGATAGTTGCTTCTTGCTTCTCGACACAAAGACGGCTATACTCATCTTACTTGTTGGGAACAAATATGTGAGAAAGTAGTAAGGTATACATAAATCATGTATGTCCTTTAGAGCGGGACGCATGCTGTGCCTCATTACTGTGCATGTCACACGTGTACTTTGAGCTTTAGATAATGCTTCTGTGGTTTTAAAGACGGGTCACAGTGATATAACAAAACACCTTGATTTGACTAGTTTACATCTATACAATTAGATTCTTCACAGGGAAATATTATGTTAGCATCAAAAGGTATACAGAATTTGAAATTGTAAGAGATTAAAACAGCTGATATTTGTGGCGATACGGTCTGTTCACACACACCTTTAAGTCTAAGAGCAACAACATGGCAAATTATATTATGTAAAGGTAACTTAAACACCCCAATACTTATTACAGTAACATTTTAATAACAGTTTTAGCTGTTATTGATGCACATTTTGAAAAGAAACTAAAGAAAATGTATGATTTCAAGGCCTATAGGTTTTATTCATAGCAAAACCGACAACTCAATTGATGTAAATGTATAATTTTGACTGCAGTCTTATCAAAAATAATTAATATAGAATGTAGAATTTGACATATGACAGTCCACTTTGAATAACATCATAAAAGCACATCATGCAGTTTGATGCTACCTCTGTCTTATACGCAGAGTATGTGTTAGTATACATATCTTTGACTACATACAAGTTGTACTTAAAAAGCATGCACAGAGGTACGGAGAACTCGAAAATAGGGACTTGAGAAATTACAGTATGTTGAAAAGACCTGCTTCAATTATATTATCTGTAACATTTTAAAATCAAGTATATCGTTTTAATTTCGTCCTAGTAAATATATCTGCCTCTTAACTGCAGTCATGATCTTTTTATTTTTCTCACTCTGAAATTTGTCGCTTAACACTTCTCTTTGCAATTTTTAATTAGGATGCACTGATGCTGTGCGCTATGGAATAAGTAGTTTTGAATTAGCACTAATCCAATTACAGAACATTTTCTTTTCTTTTAATAAAAACCTCTTAACTGATCCCATTTCTGTCTTCACATACACATACAGAAAACCTAACGGTCAAAGGTCTTCACTAATATCTGTCTTGTGAGTAAATAAGACACTAATGTGCTATGTTTTACACAAAATCTGATAGGAATTGTAAATTGTATTGACAGTGAATACCATAATAAACCCTGAGGTGCATTTATGTAAGGCTTGAACAACATTCAAAATCAGATCAGGCATACATACAGTAGTAGTACATCAAAATTAGGTTGGAATATTACCTCCGGCTGGAATCAGAAATCCTGCTTTTTAAATTAATTTAAGGTTTTTTCCACCTTAAGCGTACTTTAATACTATACCAATTTATACGATGATCATTCAGTGTGTTAGTGTGTCTGAAAGAGGCATTGATCCTGACTCCAGGTGGCTTTACTCTCCCCTAACGGTGAGTACACCGCTGCAGCTGCGAATGAGAGAAATTATGCTGCAATTCCCGCACCATGTAACACTGCATCCCCTTCTCCATCATCTCCATCTCCTGATGCCAGTCTGAACCCCCCCTCCGTGACTTTCTGTTTGCAGTTTGGTGACGTAGAGACAGGAGGACAGAGAGAGAGGGAGAAAGAGAGGGAGAGGGAGGGAGGGAGAGATGCCGAGATGGATTGATAGACAAATGCAGAGAGGGCGGAACTTGGAATTACAGTACACTGCTTATTCCTCACGTATTTTGCCATCTTGTGATGATGATGATGCTCGCAGGTGCCGGACATGAGTAAATCAAGGTAAGCTTTATACAACTTCTCAATAAAATCCATGTGATATATCGGCGTCACGAAATGATCCACTAATAGACTCGCTTTGGGTCACTTATTGCTATTCTGAACGCGCAGGGAGAGGGAAAATCTGCCCCCTAAAACAACTTACCGATTTCTGACGAGTAACTCCGCGTCCCCGGGTGTCGGGATCGCGACGGTTTGCGTAGAAACGGCCTCTCTAAAATTAGGACTTAGCTTGTTTACGACCAGCTTTTTCATGCTGCTCGGTATGGAGGATCCTTGAAAATCCATGAAGTGTGCGGAGTAGGACAGATCTATGATGGAGCGCCGCGCCACCGGGTGAACTCCTGAAAGTGCGTCCGTGCCTCTGCGACCGACGCCGGTTAGCGAAACCGCTCTTCTGCCGTTCCTCACGAGGAGCAGGGTGGACATGGCTCCGAAATGTGACAAAGTTCACGGACAACTTGATTTTTCCTTTTTTTACGGCAGCAATAAACCCCGCTGCCATTAGCCAGCGCTGTGGGCTGTTCTCCCCGCTCTGTGTGCAGGCCGGGCCGGGCGAAGCGGTGCAAAAGGCGGGGTAAAAACAGAAATACAAGAAGCGATTCTGTGTAGCGTCACGATGTAAAAACAATAATCTATAAATGGAGTATTTCGGGTTAAATGGTAGCTCTGGTGCAGCCCTGGAAGCAGCAGCAGCACAGCACTGCCACAGACTTGTTGTCGGAGTCCCTCCCCTTCCCGGACACAACACTCACTTCCTAGTAAGGTGAAACAAATCAATCCTCGTAACATATCCTCAAATGTTTTTCCTCCCACGAAACAAATTATACGGGTATCTTTTTAAAACATCCACAAATCTGCTAAATATAACGTGTTGTGCAATTTCGCTGCGGTTTATTACGCATTGTATTCTATGTTTGTTCCAACATGTAGCCTACACCTGTAACCAACGCGTGTGTATTATCAGCGTGTTCCTGGACGTTTCATTTAGATTGCTATCCCCTCGCTGTCAAAGCCATGTAACTATTACTACAACATATTGGACCATTGAACCCTCGTCCCACCCCCTCAGTGGGAGACGGACTCGTGCAGTGTCAGTGCCACGCTGTTATTACACTAAATGTGACATTTATGTTGTTAATAGTCGCATTACTTGTTGTGGTTTGCGATCACATGTTCAAATAAGTTTCAGTGGATAAGTTCCGAGAGAATCCTTCCCCCTTTTTGTCGGAGCTTTTAGAAGAAAAGGGAAGAGGGAGAGAGGGGGGGGAAACAAGACAATTAAAAAGATTGACAGGTAGGCTCCTCTGTCAGGGGTGACGCTTGTGGAGAGGGGAGGAGTAAAAATGTAGCAGGAAAAGCCACTCGATGCGTCTGTCTATCAGTTGAGACTGTCTGAGACAGCTTCGGGATCCACCGCGTTTCCATTTTTTCTCTTTTGGAAGACCTCGGATCAGACCCTTGGAGGTTTTTCCTCCCCTCTCTTATTATATGTGTTGCTTTTTTTAAAGAGACACATTGTAGTCCATGTCGACCTGATCTGTTGTTGGCGAAGCTTTGGATGCGTCTTGTTTGTTGCCCCTCTCTCTCAAGTCCTCTCCACCGCATCAGCCCAACAAAAAAAACCTCTTCCAAGATGCGATGAGATGAACGCTGGGAATTATTTCCACTACTCTTGAAAAAAGACGGTAAGTAAGAGAGAAATCCACATCGTGCCATTTATTTTTGTTTCAATGGGAGAGAAAGGGGGAATGAGGGGAGGGAGGAAAAAGTGTCCGCCGGACTTGGGGAGGCTGGATCCGGGCTGAGGTGGCGTGGTGGTGACGGGACTGACATTAACCCATCTAATGCCTGTCTGTCTGTTTTCTCCTCACCCCCTTTCTGTCTTGCAGGTCTCTGGCTCGATAAGAAGGAAACACAAGGATACTTCACTTATCAGAGCTGTGCGCTGCGCTCACACGGGACTTATTTGTTTTGAGACCGCCAGACTTTATTTATTTTCTAGTTGCGTAAAAAGGCGCAGCAAAGTATCGCCCCCCTTCCAAACAGCACTGGTCATTTTTCCAGGAGCTGAAAACGTGGTGTTTTAGGGGTCTCACTACTGCTGCTGCTTTTTATTTTTTCTTGCCATGAGAAACATGAAGGAAGATGATCTTTGATGGACATGAAGGTGTCAGGAGCTGGCCGAACCCCTTCGTAATTGTTGTGCTTAAAGTCCGAGACAACACAGCTTTTATTTCCAATAAAGAGCACGCAGTTTTAGAAGAAGAAGACAATCCCGAGATCAAAACCTCTACCCCCGAAAAACGGGATGCTTTTCCAGAACTGACAGACTTGATTTGCTCGTAATTCCTGCATGAGAAGCACCGTGGAAAGTGACGGTCACTATGCCGAGGAGAAAGCAGCAAGATCCGCGGCGAGCAGCAGGTATACCCCGCCTCTCATTTCTTCCCATCACAACTACTTTTCATTTACAAGTAGGCCTATCAAATGAAACTATCTCCTTCCTATCACATCGGGTAGTTGTGTTGCATGCTGATATGTATTTAACAACTGTTTAAATGTGTTGTGTTATTAACACGTAGCGCGCAACTCGACCCCTGACCCACAGCTGTGTTTAAAATGTGTCTTTACTACGCAAATATCTTCCACTTTGAGATTATTTTGTTATCCTCCTTTGCCGTAAAAGTTCTCTTAAGAATGATGAGATAAACTAAATGGCATGTTATGGGGATAAAAGGGAGCTTTTGAGGTTCAAGAGTGAGTAATGATGAATAATTGACTGGGAAAGAAGGGGGAGAAAATCTGGTGAGAGCCGGTTTTTTTCCTTCCCTTTCTTTCAGTTTTATTAGAGGATTGCCATCCTTGATTTGATGCGTGATTGATCGCCTGTCATGTGGCAGTCTTTGATCTATTCATCCCTGATAAACATCAATAAATCCTACCATGAAGACAGCCATGCCTCTGGTAAGGTTTAGACACTCACACACAACCCCTCCTGTTGTCTCAAAGCGAAACTAAAACGTGTAAAAAGTTAGAGAATTTTGATGCTAAATCAGCTTGTTTTAATTTGAGGGATGGAACTCTTTCAGCAGATGAAAGGGTGGTGTGTGTGTTCAGTAGATCACAGGAAAAATCAACCCAAACACTTGTTTTTCATGTGCTTTTTTCTTCTTCATAGAGATAAACGTTGTTCCAATCCAAATTCAGCCCACATTCACTGTAAGAATCAGCCCAGTAATCAATATCCACTGCTGGAGGGGAGTTTGCAATGTGACCAACTGATAAAACCAGGTCTTGGTAGACGACCGACAAGGTTGACTTCTAGTGGTTTGGATTTGGACTCCCCCCTTTTTCCCCTCTCGTCTCCCCCTGCAGCCTTTAAACAAATGTAAATGAGTGACAGGGGTTTCTACCTCTGTGCTAATGAGGCCAAGCCTTTGAAGTTAGGCATTAACAACTGGAGTGAACAAAAGACAGTTACAGAATTTTAAAGAGATTTTGAAATATGAGGTGCAAAGCGGGTCGAACAGGAGGGCCAGTCGTCGAAGACTTTGAACTCAGCAGGTTTTATAATTTTAAGCAGTGAGCTGGTGGTGGTGGTGGTGAGGATGATGAGGAGGAGGATGAGACGAGAGTGTAGGATGGAGAGCATTCAACCAGTGCTCGCTGTCGACTGCTTCCTTTCTAACTTGCCTTTCTAGCAAACCACCATTCACGTGATTTCAGGCCTCTATTTTCAAAGAAAATTTTCATATTTAGAGATTTTATTTTTCAAAATGTGCATTGTTGTTTTGGCGAATTAGCCCCCAGGAAAAGTCTATTGTTTTAGCCTCTGCACGTAGATGGAGCAATGCAAACATGACATGGCTGTGACCCCTCCTTTACTCTCACAAAACACACATCATTGATCCATTATACTGTCCACAGAGTGCCATGCACATCATGGGGTGTAATGGTCAATCACAGCTTGGCAGACGGGATGTTTTCCATTCTTCCATGAACATGACAGTCGGTCAGATATAACACCCTGCACTCCCCGATCCCAGTAGCAACAAATAACACACACACACACACACACACACACACACACACACACACACACACACACACACACACACACACACACACACACACACACACACACACACACACACACACACACACACACACATACATATACACACACACACACACACACACACACACACACACACACACATACATATACACACACACACACACACACACATACACACACACACACACACACAGGGTTGCCTGGTGCTCCACTGGGAGCTGGTACTGACCTGTGGCTTCCTCTCTGTGCTGCTGCTCTGAGAGGCAATTGCGCATGGTGGGATTGAATGGAAATCAGAGCTCAGTCAATTAAAACAACAATAGCCGACTTGTCTTGATAGGTTTCTTTTTTATTCTCCCCTTGTACCTTTTTTGGGAGAATATAATATTTCTGACTAAAGTTTTATTGTAGTATGTCAAGGCTAAATTCGCAGTAGAACATCAGAATTAGCGAAAGTCATAATTGCGAATTTATTTGAGTTGTACACATTTAATTTATCTAAATTATAGGAACTTATTATGATATCTGTTTCAAGGTCTTGTAGAAACAAATAATCTTCTCCTTAATTTTATTAATGTCATACAAAAATGCACATGTGTTTTTAGGGGAAATCTTACTGTTGGGCGTAAGACAGGAACAATAAAAAAAGACATAACGGAGTGACGCCGTCTTTCATCCCAGGCAGGCTTAGATAGTCTTAGAGGAGGAAGAAGACGAGTAAAGAGGAGGAAGAGGAGATAAGATAGGCGCTCTTACCTCTGCGGAGTACAATGGTTAATTATAAGAGACTGTGTGTGTGTGTGTGTGTGTGTGTGTGTGTGTGTGTGTGTGTGTGTGTGTGTGTGTGTGTGTGTTGTGTGTGTGTGTGTGTGTGTGTGTGTGTGTGTGTGTGTGTGTGTGTGTGTGTGTGTGCATGGGTATATGGTGTGTGTAGGGGGGGTTGAGGGTTGCTTCCCGTTGGCTTCATTAGAGAGAGCCCTAATTATCTGTGCAGCTGATGGATTTGTGACAGGCCCTAACGATTAATGCTGACAAATTCAGTAAGGTGTCAAGTCCGCAGCTGCCTTGATGTAATCAAGTTGATATTATACAGTCCCCATAGCCCCTAGTGCAGCACCAACTCAATTTGCCTGTGCAGGTGACAAATGGACTTTGCTACCTGACTAATCACGTCAGGAGACAATGCCAGTTAATGACCTCGGTAAGCCTCGCCACCTCCACCCACATCCCCCCACCTCCACCGCTCTTATAACCTTGCATTAGGCGAGCCATACCAGCACCTTTCCCTTTTTTTTATTCCCCTTTGTTTTTATGTAATTTCCTTTTTAATTCCCGAGCTACATTTCTGTTTTAAAAAAGCGGCGCATTTTCTTAAAGTTTCCCAAGGAGTTTGGAATTCAAGCAAGATTTATGTTTTATATTAATGACACAGCTCAGGCCTGTTTTAACCATTTGATGTATCAGCACTACGAAGTAATCCCAGGCACCGTATTTCTTTAAAAAACCCTGAATGATTACACTTTTGCAATGTGTTGCAGCCCTGCTAGTAAATCAGCAGCACATCATAACAGGGTCTCCTCGTACTTTTTTGGCTGAGGATCGCCCTCCCAACTCGGGGCTGGAGCCGCCTCGCTGAAGGCCTGCAGTTTATTTCCAAGCTGGAGAATCACCGTGCCCGGGGATTAATGATTTTGCATGCCCGGGGTGGCTAAGATTACACAGCGACCTTTGTGCTCTTACTTGATGATTCTGTTATGTGATATTCTCCCCTCTAAATAATCAGCATGCTGAGATTGATGTGCCCCCCCCCACCCCACCCCTTACCCCCACCACCCCACCCTTCTGTCTACATCGACGTCCTGAGGAGTGTGTAGCCTCGAGGTGTGTTTTCTTCCCTCTTAATGTTGCCAGATCTGTTTGATAAAAAAAGTAGATTTTCAGCAAAGGAACCAGTGTCTTCGCCCTGAAGGTTGGACCAGTTTATTACTTCCGATAGCTTAAGGGCTCTGCAGCTTCTGAGAAATAAGAACTTTATGTTAGAAGTCGGTGTGTGTGTGTGTGTGTTAGAGAAGAGTGGGGGTGAGACAGAGGCGAAGAGAACGTGTGTGTGTTTGTAGCTTAGCACTGACCGGTGTTAGTTTTCCTGGAATGAATAACTTGACGCTAACCACGCCATGTTAGTCATCCTCTTTAGCAGGGCCTTCAGACAACCCCCCCCCCCCCCCGTTCCCCTACAGGAGCAGGAAAAAAACCTCCACCAGTAGCTCCACATATTTCTCACTCCTGACTGTCATATCTGCCCACTATTCCCGATCAAAGCGAGAGAATACAGACGGTGCAGGAACACATATTGATCCACACTACCTGTTTTACCCCTTCAGTTGTGCTGTATGTTTCCTGGGCATTCCCCTTTAGCGCGCATGTGTGTGTTGGACTCGGCTAGAGGTTACACTAATTGGAACGGTGGTGTCGTTAGCAGGTGACATCGATCGACCTCGTCGATAGCCACTTTTGCTCCTGCACCACCCTCCCAAACTATTAGTTAAATTTACATCAGGGATTTCAGGCAGTCAAAGGTCAAACATGCTCAGCTCGCTCTTCTAATTCCTCGAGTCACCACAAGTGCCCCCGTGTTTGTTTGTGTGTGGTGGGTGTGTGTGTGTGTGTGTGTGTGTGTGTGTGTGTGTGTGTGTGTGTGTGTGTGTGTGTGTGTGTGTGTGTGTGTGTGTGTGTGTGTGTGTGTGTGTGTGGGTGTGTGTGTTGGTTTCTTAGCTACATGCATTAGCTATTATCCCTGCAATTGCAATCCTTTTGCACAAACGTTTTACAGCTTCAAGACCAGCATGAAAGGTTTTATTTAGTATTGATCATCAGTGAATAAGTAATATAATCAAATGGAAGGTATTAGCAAGCCGCATGTGTTTTTGTCTTCACATAGATAAGGATATATTTCACACCATAGCAACAACACCCCTCCTTGTCTCTTTCTCTGTCTTTCTTTCTGATTCTTTCCGGGGGATTCTGAACAGAAAGCTGCCCTCAGGGCACGCTGCTACCATCACCAGCAGTGTGTTGCCCTCGCTGCACACACACACACACACGCGCATAATGTACACACACCATCAACCGTAAACACAGACAGTCAGACTGACACACGCACCTACACCTAATGCTTAAGTGCAGCCAGCATGTCTCTGTGGGAGGTCATAATGGAGGTGGCTTAGTATGATGGGAAATCATATCATTAAAGCAGCCAGATGTGCTTTGTTGCCTGCCTTGCAGCACATAAAAACAGCAGCAGTCATGGGATCCCAAAAAAAATCCCAAGTCTGAGAAAATCAAGTCT